CCTCCTCCTCTCTCTCTCTCTCTCTCTCTCTCTCTCTCTCTCTCTCTCTCTCTCGACAGAAGAAAGATCCACAAAAACTTGTCTCAAGTACTATAGAAAACAACAGCCTTTCCAAGTACCTCTCTCTCTATCTCTATCTCTATCTTTCTATACCAACCTCCGGCACTCCACACATCTCCTTTCTTCTTTTGGGTTGAAAAGAGAAGGTAGTAAGGGGTGAGAGTTTAAATCTCAGTCATCAACACTCTGATTAGCCATCATGATCCAAGTGCTGGAATCACACCGTTATCCCTAGTATGATCATTTCCAATTACCTTCCAATTTGATTAGGATCGAACCTTCCAAAACTGTCCAATTAGATCTTGTCCTAAGTAACCAAATTGTTTCCTTTTAGAAAACAACTGATATTCTCCTAGGATTCCTAGGATCCAGGAGGATTTAGCTAACCACCTCTGTTTTAGAATTTACAAAATCCAAGATGAAAAAGGAGTGGGGCTTTCCACCCGTAGGCCCCACATGTGGGCTCCACGTGGCACCCATTGAAGCAGGTCCCACATGTCCATACATGGCTCCACAAGTGTGCTTATAAAAGGGAAACATGTGATGAAAATACATGTGCCCTCCTTTGTAAATTCCAATTATGGTTTCTTTCAAAAAATTAAAAATAGTATTTGCAGAGAATTACTTTCCTTACGACAAATTAATATTTTCTGGAAGTCCTTTTCTAATTAAGCAAACCATAAAACAAGATTGTGGTGTCTAAATATGTTTGTCTCAAAAACTTGGAAGATCTCATTGGAAAAGTGAGTATGCTTTGGGAAGAAAAAAATTCCTTTTCCACTAGGCGCTCTTAGATAATATTCTCAATTACTGCCTATCCTCAAACTGACCCAATAAGCCCAATGACCCATAAGTACTCTCATGTAAGGGGTTCATGATTGGCCCATCAAAGCCAGCCAAGAAGTAAATAACATTATAAGTTCACTTAGGATTGGAGATGTGCCCTTCAAGGACAAGTCATATCTAGCCAATTTATTCCGGCAATGACTTTTGTGTAGCAATCTCAAAGGTCTCTCTCTAGCAGACATACACCATCCCAAATCCAGGATATAACCATTACTAGGTCAATGCAGAAGTCATGCCCTTATGCCGTAAGTATGAATGTGTTAGGGTTATGGCCCTTGTCCTAACAAACCCATTCTCCACACAGTGGCCTATGCATACACTTGTTGATGAACGCAACACTAGACAACCAGCGTTGACAGGCTATCCGTGAGGATCAAAACCTTAGCAGTCTTGTGATGTGGATCTGACTCTACGAGGCTCGCAGACTGCAAACTGAAGAATAGCGTCCCTAAGTGCACTAACGCAAATGCCAGCCCAATCTATATATTAGATTTGCTAATTGAGCCTGCTCTGAAGAGCCCCACTCATCATGACATATCAGAAACTTCTTTAAAGCACAGAGCCCAATACACCATCTAAAACGAGTACTATTCTAAGAATGAGTACTAAAAAATAACCAGGGTACATAAAACAAGCACGAGCTAATGGCCTTTAATAACCTAACACCTTCCTCCCTCCCTCCCTCTCTGCACAAACTTGTGCACACACACACACACACACGCCGTGGAGAGAGAGAGGTTACTATATCAAGTGATGAGTATTTGAAGTAAACACAGAAAACACTAATTCTACTTCTATTCTCAAATGTATTCTACATTTTGCCTTGTTGTGGTTTAATTCCATCCACATTTTGAGCTTCTTGAACATTTTACATGCCTTGATAGATGAACAAGATCCTGCACTCATTATTTTGATAAGATCCTAACTGTTAATTTTCTTCCATTTGCCTTGTAGTGGTACACATGACGAGAAGTTTGAAGATGTCGGAAACAATGTGGGGGTCTTGTACGACTGCCATGTTGATCCAGCCTTTATAGGGTGTGATACATCTTCGTTCTTTGACTTTTTTGTTTTTCTCCAACTCCTAAAATATTTACTTATTGTCCAACCTCCTAAAGTATTTTCTCATGGTTGTTTTATAATTGTGCAATTCATAGGTACACAAAACCATGGAGAGATCCCGAGTCTGGCAAACATTTTTGCCTCTTTATCCCTTATTCCCCAGAATATTTGGCTCGTACCATACCCCAGATGAAAGCCACCAGACCAGATTTGGAGAGTAGGATTAAAGATGGGCTTACGTACATTTCAATTACAGCTTCTCCAAGAGGGTTAAAGCAGATGGCTGGATCAGCTGTTGCTGCCCTTTGTGGAGGATTTGTTATCCTTGAAAAAACAAAGGTAACCAGGAAATGCTTCTCAATTTCATTACTGTTATATAAAAACTATTGCCTCGTCTTTTTATTATGGGAAATTTATTAAAATACCCATGAAGATGCACTCTTTAGCATTTTACACTTTTGGCGCAATTCCAACTCGTGATTCATGTGTTTCGTAAGGGTATTTTGAAATTAAATCAAACAAGATGGGTAAAATGTTAAATAGTAGATCTAACATGAGTATTTTGATAATTTTTCCCTTTTATTATTTGATGATTAGCCTGTCAAAATCAGTAAGTTCCTTTATATATTCTTTTCATAGCTTTCAGACTTTGTGTTTGTTTGTGCATCTAATTAATATATGCGCAAATATCACTTTCCTGAGTTGGTTAGTCTTTGTTGGTGTTTCTTGCAGTTGAATCTGACACCAAATTCTAACACGAGTATTATAACAATTGTGGGGAATACTGGTGAGGTCTTCTTATACATTCATAATTTACATGTATCTATATTACATGAGATGTATATAAAGTGCCCTCCTTAGACTATTGAAATAAGGCGCACCTCAAAATTTTTCCTGGAGATGTAGTCCCAGTGTCAGAAATCCTATGATGGCTTGAAAATCTATTTTCATCCCTAGTTATAAAATTTAAAATTCCAAAAATGATAAAGATCGAGCCGATCTATAAGTACTTGGAAATTTTCATAATAGATGGCCTAGATAACTTGTTACAAGATGCACTATTTTTAGAACTTGAAATACATTTTTTCTTTATATTCATACATCTCAAGGTCAGGATGATCAATTGGTGGGTTATCCTACATCAGAAAACTCTCTTCTAGAGGATTTTAGGATTTTTGAGGTGTACCTTACTTCTTCAATAGTACAAGGTTGACATCTTTTATATATATATATATATATATATATATAGAGAGAGAGAGAGAGAGAGAGAAAAAGCTACTGTCAACCCACCAGTTGATGGAAGAGTGTAAGCTCAACAGCCCAAATTGCATCTGGGGCGATCTAATAATCATGATTGCATTTCATATTTTAATTTTCATTTTTTTTTACAAATCCAAATCACTTGAAATTTGGATCGTTTATTCTTTAAAAATAGTATAATCTAATAAAAACATCAAAAATAATAATTTGCAATAATCTAAATTGACCTAAATACCCATGAAAAGTTTCCGGGGTATTTTGGTCATTTTATTTTTTGCGAATGATTTTTTAAATATTTTTATTAGGTGCGCCTTGATGCGAAGAGTGGATGCCTCAAATTTCGTGTTATTTGGATTTATATAAAAAATGTTAAAATTATATTACAAAATACAGTCGTGACCATCAGATCGGCCCAAATTCAATCTGAGCCGTTGGGCTTACACTTTTCCATCAGCTAGTGGGCTGACCTTAGCTTTTTCCTATATATATATATGTATCTATATACACACACGCACATCATCATCGTTAAAGCCTTTTCCCAACTAATTAGGGTTGGCTATACAAATCCTAGTCTACCATTCTACTCTATTAAGAGCCATATATATGCATATATGGAGATTAATTATTTAAAAAGTGGATTGGTGACTTGGATTGGGCACCACAAAAACCAGTCCTAATTGGTGAATCGGCGATCGGGATTGCCGTTTTACTGTGCGGAAAAAACAATGAACCAGCCAAAAACCTGTTTAGATCAATGAATTGGCAACTCGGATCACCATTTTACTATAGAGAATCTCCGTTTTATTGCGCGGAACCAATTCCCTTCTAGACTCAGCTGTCTTCCTATGTATACACAGAACTGTAATGGGGTGGCCGATTCTTGGGTCGGACAGTGTGATTCCGTGCTGACCCGGCGTTTTTTAACTCACTTGGTGATATTGATGCATGCATGTGCATATATTTGCATATATGTATGAATATGTTTGTATGATTGCATGTATAGGGTGATTGATGTTTGTATATAACTGGAGACGTACTTCACAGAAACTCATTGTATTCTAGCTAAAGGGATGCTCATGCACTTGACAGATATTCAAATCCATTGGCACGCCAGAGATCTAATGTCAGTTACCTTAATGACCCTTGATGAACCAGGAATTGGGGGACGTGCAAAATATGAGGTAAGCCCAGGGCTTTCATCTTAACTTCCAAGATAACAGAGCCACAAGTATCCTCCTTAAATAGAAATCTTGATTTTTGTTAATGGGAGGATCCATTTTTGCCTATGCATTATGGCAGATCAAAGTAATACACAACCAAAGCTTCACTGATAAGTTGATTGTGACGCTTCCAGCCACAGGTACTGTTTAACTGTGTTTTCTATCATCAATGATGTGGATTAGGTATCTTACGAGAGAGAGTACACCTTGGTCCAGTTACTATCACACATGGTCCTCCAAGACTCCATTCACTCTGTTCCCAATCATTGGATATTAACTCAAGTCTCCTTCACATGAACATTCGGTCTGGTACTGTTAATTTCCAACCGTCACATTGGGAATGGCCAGTGGATGTAATTGGGAGTACCATACACATAGTCCACTGGACTAATGTATACTTCCTCAAATGTAGGTTTCATAGTTTCTGCAATCAAAAGTATCTTTCTAATCTGAATCAAACAAACAGGGCAGGGAGAGGTGGTTGACATTAGCTATGAGAGTGGAAAAGTTGAAGAGCCTGTCATGCGGAGCAAATTATATCTTCTTGCTTCTTTTGCCTGTGTCCTTGCGGTTTTGTTGTTGATCGTGTTACTTAGATGGTGGGGAAGACAACAACTTGTTAGGCCATCGAACACTTTGGTGGGTCCCACAGAGCCCATAACACCAAAGCGACAACCAATTACTCCAATCAATGGTGTGCATACCCCACCTCAGCCAGCACTGACAACGCCTGTGCCATTTACTGAGTATGTGAGGCAGACAATGGATGGGACCCCTCACTTGAGAAGGGGTGGGAGAAGGCGTTTCAATCCTCTCTATACATACTAGAATTGCATTTTTATGGGGATTGGCACAAGAAGATAAACTGGATATCGTACAAGGGACTAGAAAGAAATTTGAAGAGAATGCCATGACATCCCATATAAGAATGTTTATTAGCTTACAAGTAGGAAAAAAAGGTGATCTTTGCACCCTTAGAATTAGTAGTTTCTATCTCGCAAAACTTTGGAGATTAATGTGTTTGACTTAGGGTTTGCTACAGAACTGGGGAAACTTGTTGCCGATGAGTTTAAGATGACTATTGATGTTGACAAAGAAAAATGAACTGTGTAGTACATAAAATGTATGTTTTCCAAAGGATGCTTATACTACAACAATGTTAATGAGGTTGAACACTATTATACATATAGTTCTAGACTCCGCTAAATTTACCTTCAACCATCGTCAAAAACTGAGGGTGGGGAAAGACTATTCCTCTGCATTTGATGGGAAATGGTTCATCTCAGTTATCCTCGGACTGTATCATGTTCTTGAAGATTGGTATACTAATATACCTATCAGCAGGTGGCACTCTCTCTCTCTCTCCCTCTCTCTCTCAAGGGAAAAAACAAAAGCATGCATTAATTAGGATGATCTAAAGTATGTTTTCTTTATTATTATTAACAGGTTTCTTTTTACAATGGGATGTTTTAATGTATTAATAAAAGTATAGTAGATATTTTGTAGAATAATGTTAATGCAGTCATTTTTGTGTCGAAGGCTTCTGAATTCTAGTTATAACTGAAAGTTTTCCCTTGAATCCTTGTCATTGGGGTACCAGTGTTTTGCAAATAGGATTAGCCCATGGAATTGGCCACCTTCTAGACTAACCTGGAACGGGCGGATCAGTGATTCGGAAAAGATAAAAATATAAAGAACTGTTACCTGGCGATTCCTAGGATCCAAGAATCTATAGACCCAAACTGCTTACCCAATAATTCCATGTTAAACTCGGTGACCAAGTTCGACCAGTCATTTTTTAAGTCGCTTAGAGAGGTTAGCGGGTTTGACACCCTGAATGTTGCTGCATTTGAATGCCTTCATAGTGAGCCCTTTTGTTATTTAATTATAATATCATATGCCTTCAAATTTATAAAGTTCCCTCTAATTTTTTGTATTCTATGCTCATAATTATCTCTTTTTAATTTTTCTCAAAATATATTTGTTTTAGATCTTAAAGATCCGGTGAAAATGAAAATTCATAGCCTAACTAAATACTTGCACTTCAGACTTTAAAGGTATGAAGTGGAAATACAAGATGAGCGTATTACACTAAATCTCCAAAGTGAGAACTTTGGACCTGCAAAAAAAAAATCAATTCCAAGATTTTTGTTTGGCCCATGGCCAAAAAGAAAAAGTTCGCGACGACATTGCGATTTGAAGAAAGGAACCTACAACCATTCCCACAAAAAAAGTTTAGTACGCGAGATATTAATGGTTTCCCAAAACAACCAATCTTTAGGCCATGTGAATATTGCAGGTCAATTTCCCCTACAAATTGGGTCAAAACGTAATATTCATAATATAGGTGTAGAGCATTCCTTCAAACTTTGAAGCTCCAAAGTGCCCTCACTTCATCCGAACTGCACTTCCACTTCATGCATTTAAGATCTGAAGTTCAAGTATTTCATTGACTTAAAAATCCAAAATCAAGAATTTCATTATTCCTTTAGGCTTGAAGTGAGGGCATTTTGGAATAAAATGAGCATGAATGTAATTATACAAAAAATTATGACATTTTTATAATTTCATATAGAGGGTAGTTTCGGTGTGTATAATGTCAGCTTCAGTTACATGGTCAATTATTTGTTCCATTAACTTAATATAGAGGGTAGTTTCTGCGTGTATAATGTCAGCTTGAGTTACATGACAAATTATTTATTCCAAACCATTACAGACATTTTATTTTCTTCCGATAGTAGTAAGGAACTTGTAGAAATAAATCTCTAAAAATGAAATCCTTTTCTTTTTCTTTTTTGAAATAGTTTAAATGTAATCCTCAAACCAAGAATTCTTCACAGATCAAGGCCATTGCGCATATCAACCATATTCAAATCTCACAATGACCATCTCGCTCCCATTTCCTCAAAACAGTCTTATGAACCCCCATGGCAATAAACCTGCAATTCAATGTCATGCTCAGTGGCCATCCTAGAGTCCAGATTTTGGCTTGCCCAACCACGATAGGGAGATTCAAAAAGGAAAAAGTAAGTGAACAAATGTAAATACCAGAATGATCAGAGCATGAGTACAACACATTTTTTTGGCTAAGACTTATTTTGGCCTATCAATGTAAGTAGATGTTTGATTAGAGAGGCAAGTAGCTTTATATAAGGGGCTTGATTAGTGGCCCTGACAAAAAAACATAAATCTAGCTCTAAGCTCTAAATATAATTCTACACTTTTTAATCAAATTTACAAATTCGAATTGAATCTTCTAAAAAATCAATAGAGGATTATAATCTACATTAGGCATATAAATTTCACCATATATTTTGAGAGACATCAGACTCACAGAGGAAGCATCCACCAAAGTATTTATACTTGTAGAGCCTTGACCCTAGCTGTCAGGTCCCTAACTTGGCTCCTCAAGCGATCAGGATTGCAAAAGAAATCAACAAACACCTGTCGCTCCCTTCCCACCTCATGTGGATGATGTTTCACAATCTGCACCAGATCAAAAGTATTAAAGTGACTTATAACAGCAACATAGCTAGGCACATGAATGTGCACACAAGCCAAGCTTCCAGCAACTACCAGCCATACTTAGTTGAAATAGAACCAAAACACATTCACATATGCCAAGATTCCACTGACCATGCATGCCTCTTTGAATGGCATATGGTTTTGCAGAAGCATGGGTGGTATTTAAACTGAAAAGTTATAACTCATTAGTATATCATGCAACTTGGTGCTCCTCTCATCTGTCTTTTTTATTTTTCTTTAATCCATGTCGACTTCATGCATAGGAAACAGCTTTTCTATAATATGATCATTTACTGGTACAGAAACTCTCACCGACACAGCACAAAGACCTCTCCAGCCCAATTCTAGACAATTGTGTTAGGAATGACAGACCAAAGGATCATATCTACCCAAAAACTTACAAACCAATGATCATGATGCAATGAAAGACAGCATACTCAAGGAAAGATTACCTCAGCCTTTTCCCTGTGCTCACGTGTTACTTCTTCAACTGCAGCAGAGAGTTGTGAATTCACTTTCTCCATTTCTGCAAGCTCTTTCATGAGAGGCTGCAATTTTGAAAGCATGCAACTTAGAATTTATAAAGAAAAAACAATGAGCCATATGGCCATGTTTACAGTAGGTTGAAGGCCAGAGCTTAATTTTCCTAAAATGATAGGCAGCAGAAACTGACTTCAGATTTGGATCTGTAGCTAACATAGAAGTTTTCACCTCAAAATAAAAGCCACTTACAAGTGAAATCACACTGAAGCAAACTTCAATTAACTGCTAAAATGTAGTAAAAATTCATCAGACAAGTTACTCTCAATTGAAGCACATTTCAGCAAGTCAAACAACTGTCAAAGGCTTTCTACAAGAAATCCAGTGTCTTAAGTTCTCAAGGTATAGTCCAATTTATTGCAGAAAATATCTTACTGTACATCACAGGAATCCATCCTCCTAGGAAACAATGGAAAATTGAAAGCAGTCCCATCAATCACAAAGGATGCAACAAGTGGATCATGTACATCCTATCCAGCCTCGAGGCAAGGGTCTCAGCCTTGGAGTTTGATCATTAAACTACAGCTAATAAGAAAAGAACATGGTTTCGGCAATCACTTCTGTAGATGGCAACAAACTTTCTCTAATTATCAAAATTTAAAGAACCCACAAGATAGGCCACTCTTGTCCCCTGCTAACAGGCAGAAACCCAGAGCAGGCACGAAAGCTGTTGAAACCCAACTTAAGAATGAAACTTACAATAAAGACCAAGATTATTATAATCAAAGTCATCAGAATCAGACTGGAACGATTGGCTCAACTGGAACCGGAATGATCTCCTAAACCCAGAACAGGTTCAGTCCCTCAGAACTGGTAAAACATGGGAGTGAACTAGTTCCACTGCTCGAACCAGCCAATTCATCTTGTCGAGAAAGAATCGGCACCTCCAAGTTTGAAGGCTTCTTTTGAAATTTTTTTGGTTCTTCGGGGCCTTATTCACGTGGGCGACATGGGACTACCTTTTGCTAACCTTCACTCCTTGTACCACCTCTGATTCTCTATACTTTCTTTTTTTCAATGTTTCTAAAAAAAAAAATCTCTATATTTTCGTTCTCTACCTTTCCTCTCTCTCTCTCTCTCT